CGCTAGTAGTAACAGGTGCCTTACTAGTAGTAACAAGAAGCTAGTAGTAACCTGAAGAGTCGATGAGCGGTCTCTTCCGTGCTTTGGGACCGAACCCTGCTCGAGCAGGTCACATACAACACCGTGGCAGGAGCGGTCGTCAACGGTGCTGGGTCGTGCTGCAACGGGCCAGTGCTTTGGGGTTGCCACGTCAGACTCAAAGACGTTGTTGTCCGCAGGAGCATGCCTGGCTGCAGGTGACAAAGAGCGTCTTGAAAGATGGTCAGGGTCGCAGGAGCTGCAGAACAGAAGTAGGTTGTAGGAACGTTCGCACCTCTTTGGTTTTCTCCGGTTTACAGTCTTATTGACCTGGGTGTGGGTCCAAGCCGTCTTTTGTTTTGAGGCGGAAGCTAATGCGCTTAGAAGAGAGTACGGTTGGACCCTTGGAGCAAACGTGCCTGCGACACAGGGCCGGGCGGACAGGGTCAAGGGAGAGCCAAATGCATCATTTCGAAGCCAGATGAAGAAAAAGTAACGGGGAGAGTGAGAGTTGAGTGTCCTAAGCAGGTCTTGAAGGACCCGCCTCTTCAAAAGCCCTCCAGACCATCATCATGCACCACCAAAAATCTTGATGAGGTGGACCAGGAGAGAGTGCTTTGATTGCGATACCTTCTTGAATGCTCCAAGAGATTCTATTGTTGCTTCTAGTCGTAACGTTGGGAGATGATGGACGGTTTTTGCTTGTGATGCTTTGGTGAAGGATAACCCTGGTACTTCACGCCTTCACTCCACAATCTGCAGGATATCTTGAGTGAGGTCTTGCCGAAGGGATTGCCTGATGCGTGAAGCCCTGAGTCTTGCATAGTGTGTGTCAGTGCCGACATCTTTCCTGCAAGCTCCAGGCAGATTGGGTTTTAAGTCATGTGAGTTATTTGCCCTACACGACCATCCAAGATGGTGTAGGTAGCTAAATGAGCTACTTAACATTCAAAAATGAGATGCACAAACAATTTTCAACATCAACATCTGTAAGACTGACCATCTTCACTGGCCGCGGAGCCTCTGAGGCGGCGGAGGAGGCCTGAAGGCCGAGCTCGAGTGCCAGATGGAGGCGAGCTGCTGAAGTTGGCAGAAGCGAGCGAGGTATTGTTCGTCCCGCTAGAAATCCACAGATTTTTATCATTTCATATATATAGTTTTCTTTTATCAGGCTTTATCACAGTCTCTCTCAGATGATGATAATGACCACAACGATGATGATTATGGTGATGATTATTGTTGCTAATGTAATATTGCTATATGGCAGTTGATCTAAAACCCCGCGTAAGGAGTTTTATATAAAGCAGCCTTTCAGATGTTGTTAGAACCATCCGCGAAAGATTCGCGAAAGTATCTATTTGTTTTCCGCGAAAGATTTATCGAAGGTCATCGCTTTCATATGTTTTCCTTCACACCGACTGACAAAGAATAGAAATACAAGGTAGTCCTCCGGCAGAGCCGGTGGGCGGAAGCGTCCCCGCATGTCCCCATTGTCACAGACTGTAAAAGATTCTCCGATTCCTGTCCCCACTGTCACAGACTAGCAACCTGAGTAGGCACAGCCCTGACAGTGAGGCAACGACGTGCAGCTGCTCTGACGGGCTGTGCAGATGTTTGCAAAATGTTACGGCCTCCCCGGGAAAGCACCAGTGAAATTTCGCGAAAGTTTCGCGAACGTGCCGCTAAAGTCCAGGTTCCCAGCTTGAGGCCCCCCCAACATTCCCACCATGGTCTCTTGGGACAGTGAGTTGTGCTATTTCAAGGCATGTGCTAGTTCTCTTGACTTTAAAGAAATGGTTAGTTAAGTGGCAGGAGACCAGAAGGATCACAAAAGGTATCACCAGAAAAGCACAACTTTTTGCATTGGAGGAGAGGCTGGGAGGGAGGAAAGGCACCATAGTAGCCATAGTGTACCAAGATACCAGATTGCACCAGACAAAGAGGATCCAGAGGCCATGGTGATATATGGCTACGACGGCAAAAAGAACTAGAAGTTCGTTGTTCTCATCACACCCTGGGCCATCGTCGCAATCGTCTGCATTGAGGGAAGAGAGTCGCAAACTCAACGAGGCCATTGCCATCCGCAATGTGCTGGATGGGAAGGAGGGGACGACAGAGATTCCACATGTCACGGTTGATCCACGGGAAGGCCCAAAAGAGCGGCAGAGACTCCTCAATATCGAAAGGGAAGATCAGGGAGGAGATGGAGGAAGATGGCAGCCCGGTGGAAGGAGGGTATGTAAATCAGCCTCCAGGAAGAGGAGAAGCGGCAATCATGGCCGGGATGATGAGCATGGAGAAGGACCAGTCGACGAAAGGAAAGACAAGGGTCATTTCGGTGAGAGCGATCCACGACTGGAGACATTGGGTGATGATGAAAAGCAAGGTGTCACAGATGACCTCCTAGAAATTCAATGTTTGGAGGAGAGAAAGCTGCCGTCAAAGCGAAGGTATGCCAGATCAACGTCGCCTATCAGAAGCCCAGCTCTGGTCCAGGAAGTCTCCGCCTACATGGTCTGGCAAACGACGAAGAGGAAATGGATCCCAGACGGCTCAAGACAGAGTTGATGCAGTTGTCAGAGAGGGTGCGTGCAGCGCTTTTGAATTGAACGCCAAGAATCCAGCCAAGGCGATGAAAAGCGTTATCGATGAAGTCGCTCGGACAGGACGAAAGATGCTTGCCAATCAGCAGGCAGGTATGACCAATTCAGCACTCGCTCCATTTAAGAAAGCGCCTAAGGGAATCGGCAGTGAAAGGACCGCATGTTCCAACCTGCCGGCGACTTTGAAATTTGCTTATGAGGTTTCCTTATCCGATGAACTGTCCACATGCTTTGACAGTGGCATCGAATCGCAATGACAAGCATAATGAGGCGAGCGACCCCTGTACCAATCCCGAGTCACTTGTATTGCCGCATCACTCCCTTTTCCATGGTGTCGGCAACTTGTTGGCAATACAGATTTTCTCTCCGCTTGGGCATGTGTGGTTCTGTATTGGAGGAGGGTCAATACTGAATATCCACGGTTGTTGAGAAGGAGACGCACCCATTTTTTCCCGAGAGCGCCTGCGAAGGGTTCTTCGTAAAAAAACATCTGCAGAACTACGTCTCATCTACATCTTCACATCTTCACCTCTGCGCATCCACATTCTCACCTATATCTCTGCTCATGTTCACATCTGCGCAACTACGTCTCATCTACATCTTTACATCTTCACCTCTGCACATCCACATTCTCACCAATATCTCTGCTCATGTTCACATCTGCGCATCTACATCTCTGCTCATGTTCACATCCGTACATCTACATTTCTGCTCATCTTCGCACGTGCACATCTACATCTCCGCTCATCTTCACATCCTCACATCTACATCTCACATCTTCACCTCTCGCTCCTCTTTACTTTCTCTCTTAAGGCCGGGGGTGGTGCCGCCGGAGCACCACGAAACGCAACCGTCTGCGGAGATCGTGTGTGTCGAGGGCGCGAAATGCAGGCGAGAGTGCGTTTCGGATTTGGCGCGGGCAACCCTCTGCGGAGATCGTGCGTGTCGAGGGCGCGAAATGTAGGCGAGAGTGCGTTTTGGATTTGGCGCGGGCAACCCTTTGCGGCGATTGTGCGCATCGAGGGCGCGAAATGCAGGGGAGATTGCGTTTTGGCCCAGTCACGGGCAACCCTCTGCGAAGATCGTGCGTGTCAAGGGCGCGAAATGGAGGCGAGAGTGCGTTTTGGATTTGTCCGGCGCAACCCTCTGCGGAGATTGCGCGTGTCGAGGGCGCGAAATGCAGGTGAGATTGCGTTTTGTATTTGTCGCGGGCAACCCTCTGCGGAGATCGTGCATGTCAAGGGTGCGAAATGCAGGCGAGAGTGCGTTTTGGCCCGGTCCGGCGCAACCCTCTGCGAAGATCGTGCGTGTCGAGGGCGCGAAATGCAGGCAAGAGTGCGTTTTGGCCCGGTCTGGCGCAACCCTCTGCGGAGATCGTGCGCGTCGAGGGCGCGAAATGGAGGCAAGAGTGCGTTTTGGATTTGTCCGGCGCAACCCTCTGCGGAGATTGTGCGTGCGAGGGCGCGAAATGCAGGTGAGATTGCGTTTTGGATTTGTCGCGGGCAACCCTCTGCGGAGATCGTGCGTGTCGAGGGCACGAAACGCAGGTGAGATTGCGCGTTGGATTTGTCCGGCGCAACCGTGCGCGTCGAAGGCGCGAAATGCAGGTGAGATATCAGAAGTGGCCAGCTTGCAGTACAACTGTAGTAGGGGAAAGAGCTTTTCGGAGCTGGACTCAGAAGTGGCCAGTTTGTAGTACAAATGTAGTACGGGAAAGAGCTTTTCCGAGCTGGACTCAGAAGTGGCCAGTGTGTAGTACAAATGTAGTACGGGCAAGAACTTTTTGAAGCTGGACTCATACCTGGCCAGTTTGTAGTACAAATGTAATACGGGAAAGAGCTTTTTGGAGCTGGACTCAGAAGTGTGGTGAGCCGGATGATTGGCGGTATCGTGTGACAGGATAGATTCTAGTGTGTGGGCAGACCGTGTGGCGAATTACGTCCGTAATGTCGCAGTGCCATGCGGATTTACGCGGCCTTGGTGGAAAGTGCGTTTGCGTGACGCCGTGCCACTGGGGAGCGCGAAACATGCTGGTGTAAACGCGGCGTGTCGCTGGTGGGCGGGATGATTGGCGGTATCGCGTGATCGGATTGCTTCTAGTGTGTGGGCAGACCGTGTGGCGAATTACGTCCGTGATGTCGCAGTGCCATGCGGATTTATGCGCCCTGGGTGGGAAGCGTGTTTGCGTGGTGCCGTGCCACTGGGGAGCGCGGAACAGGCTGGCGTAGACGCGGCGTGTCGCTGGTGAGCGGGATGATTTGTGGTATCGTGTGACATTTTTGCTTCTAGTGTCTGGGCAGACCCTGTGGTGACGCGACGTTAGTGATGTCGCAGTGCCATTGGGATTTGCGCGGCCTTGGTGGAAAGTGCGTTTGGTGGCGCCGTGCCACTGGGGAGCGCGAAACATGCTGGCGTAAACGCGGCGTGTCGCTGGTGAGCGGGATGATTTGTGGTATCAGGAGTGTCCCAAAAGAGTGCCCCGCAAGAGGTTCCTACAAGAGTGACCCACAAGAGTGCGCCCTCTCTTTCTCTCTTTCTGCTTCTAGTGTGCTCTGTACATTGACATCGCCGCACGCTCACATCCGCAGATGTACCTCTCTACCTCCACACACCCACACATCTGTACATCCACACTGTCACTCCTTCACATCTGTCCTGCCTTTCTTTCTTTCTTTCTTTCTTTCTACATATCTTTTCTCCCTCGCCTCTGCACATTTACATCTTCGCACGCTCACATCCACAGATCTACCTCTCCACCTCCATACATCTACACATCTATATCGCACCTGCACATCCACACTGTCACTCCTTCACGTCCGCCCTCTCTTTCTCTCTTTCTATATATCTTTTCGACAGTGCTGGAAAATCACATGTCTCGCTCTGAGGGACGGGCAATGGAACGAACCGGGTCAACGTTCTCGTTTCTTTGTTCTTCGGATTGTGGCTGGAGCAGAAGCCTGCGGATGTACAGATGTTCTGTGAATCCAGTTGAGCTAGACGTTGCGCTCTTTGACCCAGACGTTCCGGAAATCGGATATAAATAATAAGGGTGCCAGAATCTCAACTTGTGACTTGTCCGGCTTTTGAGCAGCGGATGTGACGGATAAAATTGCCAGGGCAGCAGCCTGATGCTACAGGGTTGAACCTGCGTGGTACCTTTTAATGTCGAGATGCACCAAACCCCACGATCAATTAAATAGGAACATCATGCACTTGATGGTTGTGTGCGCCCCCATGCTGACCAATATGAATGCTGATTTGTTCACTTTTCTGGTCGTGGTTCTCGTGGTCACTATTACAGCCGCCAGGCCACTTGCAAATTATATAGCATGATGATGATAATGGTGGTGATGATGATGACGATGGCGACAACGATGACGGCGACGCTGATGATGATGCACGAACTTCCTGGTTTAAAGACAGGCACCAGTGATGCGAAAAACATATGCAGACCCTGTAGGGGGAGGATTCTTGGTTCGACTGAAATTTGAGCCCCCTCTGGGCACGCTTTTGAGAGTGCCAACTAGAATGTGGATAACTCTGGCCATTGTGCAGAAAGAAGCCGCGTATGGGTATCAGGATAGGGAGACCCAATCGATTGCTCAGGTCCGAAGAAGAACTCGAGGCCTCGTGCAGAGGTCCGGAATTCGTTTTCCATGTGCAGAACGGTGCTTTTTGACCACAGCACAGGCATTAGATATTGGTCATGTTAAAGAAGGGTCTTGGTGGTCCTTCTTTTTGCCAACGCCTCCAATGCTTGGTTTCTTGACTGATGCTGCAAAGACCAGATCCACTGAACAAGTTGGCCGGTGAGACGTAATTACGATTTAAGTCCTTTGCCGCTTGGTTTGGTACCAGGCCAAATCAGATCACTCTCAGACCTGGATGTGGGCCAGGCAAGGGTCTCGCTCTGACCACGTGGTACTTTTTGTCGTTCGCATTTTCTCGTGCTCCAGGTTGTTCATCATGCTCGCCAAAGCCTAAGGAGCATCGGCCCAAGCACATGGTGTGCATGTTGGAGATCAGACTCAGGTCGTGTTGCAGTTGCTACTTGCAGCCACGACCTCAGGAGTTGGCTTGCGAATCCAAATTGCACAATGCGTGGCCCTTTCGGCTGCTTTGAGGTTTGGTCTGACTATGCCGTCCAGTCTGCGAAATCATGAGGGTACTATCCAGTCTATGCCTTGTGCACCATGGATGACCTCTTGCTCACCATAGACGAAGCACTTTTTGGCAAGCTCTTGTGGGAGTTGCAAAATGGATCTTGGGCTGGGCAAGAGCTTCGGTGTGCCACCACGATGCGAAGAGGTTATGCAATTACAGGTTCAATGCAGAACGCTCGCTCGGATACTGTTGATGGAAGAAGTCCAAACTCTAAGACTCTAAGCCAATTAAAACCGACTTAATTAGCTACAGTTGGATATGTTGGAGATCCTCCATCTGAGATGGTGAACAAACTCTTCCTTAAACCACAAGTTTGGTGAGTATGCTGCCTGCTTGTTCCTAAACGATGTCTGGCTTCCACGCATGGACACTGCTCTGCTCCAGGACGTGTTGAGCATCCCTCCGGCCTTGCACGAATGGCTTCCCGGCGAGGGATGACTGGGTAGGTCACACCTCTCTCAAGCGCTCTCTGCGACACCGGACAGAGAGACCATTGGAGGGAAACGTTTCTGTTTTGCAGAACACATGTCCTGAACAGATGCCCATGTGTACCACCAGTGGCCACCAGTGGCTTCGTGTTGCCCAAAGGTTTGAGCAAAGACTTCGGATCATCCGAGAAAACGAGAACGGCCAGCTGCTTAGGACTTCGAGGCGACGAGCGGATGTCGAGTTGGGAGGTCACCGGGGTCCAAATCACGAAAAAAATAGCCCCGAAAAGCCCGCGCGTGGGAGTTGGAAGCATTTTCGTAAAAAAGTGCCTGTGCACCGACCGTGAAACTCAGATAGATGATGGGCAGCTGAGGAAAACGATGTAAATGCGGTGACCAACTTTTGGCGGGATGCGCTGTACCCTCCCCATTTCCCCACTCCTGCACCAGGAATCTGCACTTTGCATCCCGAAAATTATTTTTTAAAGGCAACCCCCTCAGCTTAGCAGCGACCACAACGAGAGCTCGAAACAATAATGACACAAAGTGGCGCAACCACTATCACCGATAACCCAACATCAACAAGGACAAACATATATCAAGAAGCAGGTAGGCCAAGAACAAGACCTAGATCAAGACTCATAATTGCTATCCGGTGCCCGCCTGCCACGAAATCAATGTTACAGATGAATTCCTCCACGTTTCACTGCCACAACAGGCGCCACCAACGACAGCTAATGTATTTCATTGGTTATCAAATCACTTTGTGTTACTTACAGGCCAGTATTGGGTGAGATTTGAGGACTGCTCCGCTCTTTTCCTCCCTTCCAGCTTCAACAAACGGACAGCAACACAAACATTGGCAACAGAAACTGACACATCGCGTCATCGCGCCGGTCAACTGACACACGAAGGGCAGGTCGTTTGACACGACACGGCACCTGTGAGCCGGCAGCTAACCGCGCAGTTGTTATCGCGAACGCTGTGTTCTTCACAGAGCAGCTCGGTCTACCTGTGTCAAACAGGTCTGCTCAGTCTACCAGAGCCACGGATGTACTGACCGAACATTCTTGGCATGCCATCTAGGTCAAAAACAGGTTATATATATATATATATATATGTGGAAACATCTACTGAGAAGGGTCAGGCTTTTGTCTTTAGCATGCGAATCATTGCTACACGTTTTAACCCACAGTGTTGGGTGCCGTTGGGTGCGGCGATATCCACACTGTGACCGTGTGACCGTCATGCGTTTGACTCTTACGCATTACCCAAGAGATCCTGAGTTCCTATTCTCTGGGTACAACCGGCATCGCCAATAGCCACCCTCTACGCGTTGGACCTGGTGTTGGATTCTTCCGAAAATCATGCATTTGATGCCTGGCACACCGGCGTGATCTCCAAGGTGATGATGCTTTTCAGATTGGGATGCCGTTCAGCTACCTCAAGCAGGTGGGATCTGAGATCCCAGAAGCTCAAAATTGGCTTTGTCAGAGAGCTTCTTGAAGCGCATGATAGTGTCGATGACAGTTCGGCAACGTGTGCAGATGAGGATGCAAACCCGGCTTCGCAGGCGCATCTCAGCTATTTGCAAGGTCAGCCTGTGAAAGTGGTCTGAGCCTTGGGCCAGGGAATCATAGCCTGAAGGCGAGTGGACAAGGTTCTCTAAAGCAACACAGTTTTATTCCCATTTAGCACTTTCCATTTGATTCCCATTCTTCCAACTTGGAAGGATAGATCTGCCGACCCTCATTGGGGAGTTGGAGAGAGTCGCTACTAGGGGGCGGAAAGAAATCAGTGCCGTAAGAACATGTCAGAGATGCAAGAGTATGTCCTCATTCAACACGAACAAGACCTTATTCAACACCTATCCTTTTTCTCTTATCTTCAGCAGACCCCCAGAGTTCAACGACGGGTCGACCTCCAGAGCGCTTTCCGAGAACCGAATGCATGCGTGCGACGCCTGACTTCTGTCCATCGTCCCAGTCCTTCTCTGACATGTCCAGACGAGACTCGCCTGCGACGACTGAGGTGGAGCAACATTGTGAGCTCCCTTCACGGCCGCGAGGAGACCACATCATGACACCTTTGGAGGCGCGAGTCTTCGAACGAGTCTTCGAACTTCACGAGACGAGACACCACACCAACCGACTGGCAGGGTGTGCTGTTTTTAATAGCGATGAAGTCGTGTGCCATTTCGACCTGGGGAGCTGAAGTGGAGCATGTGCTCCAGGTCTTTTTTGCGAATCTGGGTGTACTGGGTGATCTGCCAGGGATGCATCCTTGGCGGCCTAGACACTGCCGCACCGATCGTAGCACCGCCCAAGGGTGCCAGCACCAGGTGGGACTGGACCGGTCAAAGATGATTTCTTTTCGAGTTGGACAATACTTCGTTCCTATCTGAAGGCGCTTGGTGGATCTTTTCACCTTTGTGTAGACTCAGTGTAGACCTTGTTTCACTGGATATGCCAGACTGTAGTGTTACTCAATCTTCTTGTACCAACAGGTCACTGGCTTGGACCCCTTTTTCGACCAACCGGTGACGGGGGTCATGAAATCGCCCAGGACTGGGCTCAATTCGCTGGAGTACTTCGGGGCCAAGTGGGACCACTCCGAGTACTATGCGGAGGTGGGCGGGTACGACCGATCAGACCTTCAGTTCGCAACCAAAAACAGTCAGTTTGCCTCTTCTTTGGGGCTGGATTTCTGCACTTTGCGTATCACCAGCTGGATGAGATGCAGACTACACCCACAAAGTTGCTATGTGGCGGTTTGATGACATCCGCAAGGCAAAGAATGGTTGGTTGCCTTAACGAGACCTGCCCAGGACGGTGATGGCGATGACATGAAGTTGCACCCGGGGAGCAGATGATTTGTTTTTTTGCTGTCTAGAGAGCAGAGCTCTTTCCTTTAAAGTCTCATCACATGGTGTGCATTTCCTACTCGTGACTTGTGCCTTTTTCTTGTGCAAACCCATGGAGTACTCCAGGTACTGCAAGCACTTGAACGTTTTGTACCGAAGCTATGCCTCTTTGCAGCAGACATTGGAGAATGATGAGCTGTTGGGACGAGTTGGGACTGTTCTTCCTCAGCTCTGAAGCGACCCGAGACGGGGTGACCACCGAAGCATTAACGGACCGGACACGGACAGGACACATAGTGAGCTGTTTTTTCTACACCCTGGGCACCAGGCTTTTAGCCTAAAAGCCTTGCTCCCAGGATATTGTCTTTGACTTTGACTACAAGACCTTTGGCAGGGGCCTCACAGCTTTGGATACGCTGATGATGGTGTCATATTGGTTCAGTCTTTCTTCTTCTTCTTCTTCCTCCTAATGTGCTCTGGCAGGCCATGAGGTCACACTCAGTTGATGGTTGGGTACAATTGATAGCAAGCTTATTGTCAGATTTGTTTCTGCGGAGCTCGTGGCATGTCTTGTGGCATTGAGGTCTTACAGCAGAGGAGAATGCTTCTTTGGACCACCGCGGTCGAATGCTGTTGGAGGCCACTTAGATCCACTTAGTGTGAGATGGCACACTTAGTGTGTAACCAATGGGTTCGGTGGCCTGTTTTTCCGGTGTCTCCATATTCCCAAGTTCGCGTGTTCATGTATGTTCATCTTGTGTTCATAAACCTCTTGACCTCTTAAAGGATGGGGTGAGTCATCGCCTGGACAGGAAATCGCCTCGTTCGAGATGGGGTTTGGGACATGCTTCGGCCAAATCGTCTGAGAAAGAGAGACTTTTTTTTGATGGAACACCACGGTAGCCAAATTGTGTGAATGGGGGCTCGTTCTGGCATGAACATTGGACTTTGCTTGTTCAAACCAATGATATGGTTTTGAGATTTGCTCAGAAGGTGCAGGATGCACGAAAAAGCGTAGGCACAGTGGCTCCTCAGCCGAGACTTTGACTTCCGACAGGGCTTGAGACGGGCCCGACATGGTCTTCAGAGGGTGTTTTGTTCACATATGGAGACCGGGATGGAGACCAGAAAGAAAGCTCCTCCCGGGTTTTGCTTTTCCGCCTTGTAGCGTGACAAAGGCCCATCACCAGATCATGCGGAAAGTTCCTGAGGTGCGCTTTGTTGATCCTCGATGCGTTTGATTTGGCGTTTGATATTTCGATTGTCCCTGATGACATTGTTTTGTGGGCCATGCTGTGGGCCATGATTTTGCTTGTCTTGTGTACCTTTTTGCATGTCTGTTTCTTTTTTAAAACTAAATTTCTTTTTCTGATGCAGTTTTTCTTGGAATTAGCCTAGCTAGCTTTTCCCCAACGGTGTTGCTTGGTGTTTGCTGTTTGAACTTGGAGGGTGTGAATCCCACTCGTGCTCCTTGCAGTCCTTGGCATTTTGGATCATCTTCTTTGGGTTGCGCAGACGATTTGTCAAACCGTTTGTTGGGCACCTTCATTCGTACAGCGAAGCTGCTCGCGGCGAGGCCAAGAAGACTCGGGATCGGCGTGAGTCTTTGGACTGGGGCCTCTATGTTGGCTTGTCAGGTGCCACACCTCTTGGCGAGGTAGATAGGTTTTGTGGACGGCATGAAAGGGATCAGAGGACATGACAGGGC